CTTTCCCTCCATTATTATGAATATTATATTACATAATAATTATTAATAAATGCAAATACTTAAAAGATGACAGATGTCAAGTAATTAATGTGAAATTTTTATAAAATATTTCCCACAACAATTTTGCATCTCCATCATATGTGGTAAGTCATGCCTTATCATCATGATAAAGCCTACTTAACTTTGTTGAGTGCAATCTTCTCATGCTATTTTATCTATGCAAAGTTTTCCGTTATGATTTGGACCTAAAACAATAGCGCTTTCCATTGTGCCATTAGCTGTAAATTTTAAAGCTTTTGGTTTAGTCATGAACGCTGATAATCAGCTGCTCCAAAAAGAAGTATAGCAATCATTGAATTCATAGTTTAATGCATTTTTTTCCTATTAATCAATTGAGTAGTTCATCTCCAAATACTCATATTGGGGAAAGATGCTTTTCATGGAGAAAAGATGAGAAATATCCTCTTTCATTCACTTGATTCGTTTTGAGATTGGAAAAATCATCTCATAAAAAATAACAATATAGGCACATACCCCGACGGGTTGGTTGGCATCTGCGATGTCAATGGTAAGTCCCCTGAGGCCGGGGGTTCGAATCTCCTTCTGATGACGGTCGCTTTATAGAGTGAATTGTTAGACACATTAGGGGTGGCTGGGGGCTCGTATGATGGCCTCTGGTCATTCCTTTATTAAGGCACATTAAGAAACTGTAGTATCTCATTAACAAGAAAATGAAGGCAAGAGGATTCTACAAGGTGGCCTTATGAGGACTTTAACATCAATGTTCTAGGAATAGTTTAGTTACATGCTCATCTTATCATTAATGAATGTATTTATGCTCAAAATTTCCATAGAGTGAATTCATATGTTCATTATAAAGGATACTCTTTATTTAAATTTATTCAACTTCTCTCAAATCAATCAACCAATAGAATCTATAAGAAAAATACATTTTTTTTAGTTTAATAGTTATTAAAAATAAAGTATAATAATATAATAGAAAATAAAAAGATTAACTTCAATTTTTTTAAGTCTATCCATCATATTAATGTAATATTATGTGATCACAAAATCATTTAATTCTAATGTAATCAATTCCACCATCTTGATCTTTACATCATACCAATCATACAATCACTTAATTTAAAAATATTAATATCCTTAATCATATATTTATTATCATCAAACTAAGCTCTTAGATATCAAAGCTTCAAAGTTTAACAACATCAATTATTTACTCTCTAAAAAGAGTCTCACCCTTATTATGAGGGGGAGGAGAGCTTGAAACTAGAGAAAGAGCTTGAAGTTGTGATAAGAAACTAAAGTCCAGCACCACTCTTATCGTCGTTGATCACCGTCAATCACCGTCGACCACCACCGACCACCGTCGACCACCACCGACCATCGTCGACAATCATTAACCGTTATCAACCACAACCAATCTCTGTTGACCACCATCGACAGTCGTCGATCACCACTAACCACTGACCCACCGACTGGACGCTGTTAATCGATATTTATTGCCGCCCATTGACATTGTAACTTGGGTAATTTAGTAGCCATTTCTTGCCTGTGGGACAAGTGGTTGTAACTGCAATCAACTTTTTATAGTGGAACTCTTTAACTGAGTCAGGCCCTGTGATTTTTCACTTTCTGTGTTTTCCATATAAAAACTTATAATGTTATTATTAGTTGTTTTCTCTTTTCTGAGTATGTGTTGAATTTAGTATCATGCTAAGACAATAATCTGCTACTCTACTGTTACATATTTTCTAGCACGCATCAAGTCTTAAGTAGAAGGATCTAGGAAATTTGTATTAAATGAGAAAACTAAAAAATATTTAAATAGGAAGAATCTAGATTGTGTTTTTCTAGAAAGAATTGTAAGAGTAGAAGATTCTAGATTTAGTCTCATATCTATAAATAAGCATAACTTGTTGTTGTCTTCTAAGTTGAAAACTATTCAGCAAAGTTTAGAAATCAAAATCTCTTTCTCCTCTTCAAAAATTTCCAACAATTGGAATCATTGTTTCGTTCGATTATTTATTGGTTGTTGTACAATTTCAATATGTCTACAATAGCCGACTTCAAGTGCTCACCTGTCCTGATTATAATCTTCATTGGATAAAATTATGATTTTTGGTCCATCAAAATGAAGACTTGTTTTCACTCCTAAACTTTTTGGAAGAACATTGAAGAAGATTCAATGCTCTGAAAGATCCTTCAACTCTTTCAGCAAATCAAAATAAGGTGTTTGAAGAGAATCAACAAAAAGACTCTCAAGCATTATTTGTTTTACAACAAGCAATGGAAGATGACATTTTTCTTTGAATCATGGGTGCAATAACTACAAAACAAGCATAAGACACGTTATTGGAGGAGTTTCAAAAACTAAGAAAGTACGCTCCATTAAATTATAAAATCTCAAACAAGAATTTGAGAATCTTAAATGAAAGATAAAGAGATTGCAAAAGTTTATTATTCTAAGATCAAGAAAATAGTTAATCAAATGAGAGTTGTTTTCATTCATTTCTCTTTTTTATTTTTAAGGGAATTGTCAGTTTGTCCATCGTTGTATACTTCCCTTTTACGAGCAAGTCTCTCTTATGGATCATATAAATGATCGAAAGGAGAGAGGAACCGGAGAAGCAGAACATGGAGACAAACAAGAGAAAGAAGGTAGAGAACTTCCTCGCAGCAAACCTTACTAAGATAGGTCAACCATATACGTCCAAACAAGATCAGACTGAAATAGTTTATGTCAAATATCTGTGAAAGAATGCCTAAGAAAGCTATCCACAACCAGAGATTCAGATGTTTTTTTCTGTTCTAGGGTCTAAAGTGCTAGCAATATGACGTATTTCACTTGGTTAGTTACATCATGGAGGTTTTCAAAGAGTACTTTTGATCCAAATGAGTCTTACTTACATTAGTAAAGACAATATCTTTATTGAAGTCTTATTGGAAGCTTATTGATTATAACAATGACGAGACCATACATCATGTATGTAACAAGTCTGCTCTCAAGATTTATGTAAAGTCCAAGCCAAGTTCATCAAGGAACAGCTAAGAAAGTTCTTAGATATATACAAGGAACGAATAACTATGATATCTGGTATGAATCCAATCCTAACTCAAGGCTACTTGGATATGCTGAGAGTGATGGGGTCGGATCGGATCAGTGGATGACATGAAGAGCGCCTCAAGAAATGCATTCACACTAGGTTCGGGAATATTTTCTTGAGTATCAAAGAAATAAGTAATAGTTGCACAATCATCAAGTGAAGTTAAATATATTGCAGCTATCATAACTAAAAGCCAAGCAATATGGCTAAAATACAAAATAGAAGATATGGGTAAGCCAGAAAGATAAGCTACAAAATCTATTGTGACAACAAATCAGTTGTAGTAATAGCGAAAAATCTTATATTTCATGGCATAACTAAACATATTGGTATCAAATATCATTTCATTAGGAAAGTTAAGTTCAATCAAGAAATTAAACTTGAGCACTATTAGATTAAAGAACAATTAGCAAATATATTAACAAAGGCACTTCCAAGAGGATATTATTTCTCCAATATTCTAGAATATTCTATCTAGTCTTAAGTGAAAGATTCTAGGATATTTCTATTAAATGAGAATGCCCTAAAATATTTAAATATGAAGAATTTACAGTATACTTTTTTCTAGAAAGAATTGTAGGAATTTAGAAGAATCTAGATTTGGTCATGCCTATAAATAAGCAAAACATGTTGTTGTCATGTAAGATGAAAACTATGCAACAAACTTTAGCAATTCAAATCTCCCTCTTCTCTTCAAATATTTCCAACACATCAACATCGAGCCTTTTTTAGTATGATAGCTACAATTTCATAAAAACTCTAAAGTTAAGCACATTTGTGCAAGTTCATTCTTGAGATTAATTGGTGACCTTCTCGAATTTTACACCAATGTGACAAAATTATGACATCATTAAGCCAAAGTGAAGCATATTAATCTAGATGGGTTTGATTTCGAATTATTTCATTTTCATCCTTCTTTGCCCCTACACATAACTGAATGAAGAAGAAGAATAAGGGTGCCTTTCAGCACTTTGGAATCATTTTCTTATCTAACACTTATTTTTGTGCAAGTTCATTCTTGAGATTAATTGGTGACCTTCTCGAATTTTACACCAATGTGACAAAATTATGACATCATTAAGCCAAAGTGAAGCATATTAATCTAGATGGGTTTGATTTCGAATTATTTCATTTTCATCCTTCTTTGCCTCTACACATAACTGAATGAAGAGAAGAATAAGGGTGCCTTTCAACACTATGGAATCATTTTCTTATCTAACACTTATAGAGCTTAGGTAGATGGCAAAAGGTAACATATTTATTGAGTTTAGTTAGAGAGTTATGGGTAATGAACTTTTAGGAGTTATATAGAGAGACAAATGAACATACTTGTAAAGGTTAGCCAGATAAATATATCTTTACATCTAAATAATCTTGTGAACACAACACTTTCATTTACATCAAAATAATCCTATGAACATGGCTGCATAATAACAAATACTATTGATCATTCAATAAAAAGGATGATTCCTACAGGCTGAAGAAAATGGAAAGAGGGTAATCATGACTTGTAATAAAAATATGAAAAAGGTTCTCTGCCAAGGCAAAAGGCTTCCATAGCATTCATCAAGTAGAAAAGCTTTTCTTTCTTATATACTCTCTTTTCTCCTCCCAGACATTTGCTTCCATACAACTCAGCTAAACTTTTCCTTCTTCCTCTTCTTCCACCTCTTCAAAAGCTTGACCTCCTCACAGGTAGGTGCAGGAGAAGAAGAAGAAGAAGAGGGATGGGGGTCCCTACTGTTGCTGAACTGAAGCAAAATAGTTCAGTGAAGAGGGCAGTTAGACCAAGCATGAATGCCAGGCATGCCAATGAATGGTATTTCGTGACTTTTAGAATTTTTTTTTAATTTTTTATTTTTTTATGGGCTGTTTTGATAGATAATATGATTTAATATTAAATACAGAAAATTGGAAGCTGTTACATTTTTTTAATGTTAAATGATGAAAAGTTGCATGTAAATTAGATTTTATATATATATAT